GTCTGAGGATCTCACTTTCAAGGATCACAACAGTGCCACGATCGCACGTGCAAAGAAAATGATAGGATGGATAATGAGGACGTTCAAAACAAGAGATGCCAAGCCAATGATGATCATTTTCAAATCACTTGTTCTCTCTAGGCTGGAATACTGCTGTATATTAACATCTCCATTCAAAACAGGTGAAATTGGAGATCTAGAGAGTGTACAGAGATCCTTTACTGCACGTATAAGTTCTGTCAAGCACCTTAACTACTGGGAACGCTTGGAAGCACTTGACTTGTACTCATTGGAACGCAGGAGGGAGAGATATCGTAATCAACACTTGGAAAATCTTAGAAGGAATGGTCCCGAATCTGCACCCAGAAATCACTCCCTACGAAAGTAAAAGACTGGGCAGGCGATGCAAAATGCCCCCAATAAAAAGTAGAGGCGCCATTGGTACACTAAGGGAAAATACCATAAGTGTCCGGGGTCCAAGGCTGTTCAACAGCCTTCCATCAACCTACATCAGTCGACTAACACCTAGGTACCTACTTGTTTGCTAGATGAACAAGACAACAGGTGTAAGGAAACACGCCCAGTGTTTCTACCATTGTCTGGGATCGAACCACGGATACTTAGCATGTGAAGCGAGAGCATTACCTATCAGGCCACTGGCCAATGACATACTATTATATAGAAAGCCCTTGTTATGCAGAGCACTTCGGGAAAATTAGGTAGTGTTTGTCCCTAGGATGAGACCCACGCCAGCCGACTAATAACAAGGTACATATTTTACTTCTATGTGAACAAGGTAAGTAAGTTTATTCAGGTATACATAAATATAGTTACATAGCAGCATATGTGTAGAGAACTTAGGATAACCCAGAAAATTCAGACAGTGACTTATTTCCATTGGGGTCCTTTTAATACCTTATTATGATACTATAAAGGAGATAATATCTTATTATTATACTAATGGCTTGACAAAGCTCCTGGAGAGCGAAACGTTGCCACAATAAAATGTCACATTAGTTGCACTTGTGTCCTTTTACTTTACATATTATACTATAGAGGAGATATACTACTAGGAATAAGGTAGACAGAGTTATTTATATTTACATGTGTGTTAGCTAAATAAAATGAAAAATCATTCTCCTCCCTTTCTGTCGCTACATTCATCAGGTACCTTTTGGCTCTCTTCTTCAACTGGTTCATGCTATGACTGGCTTTGGCATGTGCAGGCAATCTGTTCCATTCCTTTATTGATGTACAATAAAAGGTGTTTAAAGCCTGGCCACTGACTGTGGGTACTAGAAAGTTGTGCTCTCTCCCCCTAGCACTATGACGGCTTTGGTTCCCAACCTTGATAAAATTGGCAGCAAGATATTTTGGACACTATGAGCAATTTTATAAACTTGATTTAACTTCAGTTGGTTTACTCTGTCTTCAACAGTCAGCATATCCAATTGTTGTAATTCATCCTGGCCTACATGCTCTCTTGGACCCAGGTCCAGGATGAATCTTACCATTTTGTTCTGGGTGATTTGCAGTCTATCTTTCAGTTTTTTTTTTGTCAAGGCAGAGTACCATGAACAGCAAGCGTAGTCCATATGGCATTGTATAACGGCTAGACACAGTGTCCTGCGAGCCTCAGTATGTAGACACTGCTTGTCTGTTGAGGAACTTCAGTCTGGCATTCGCTTTCTTTACTGCAATGTTCCCTATCAGTTCTCCTGACATGCTTGGGTCAAAAGGGATTCCCAGATATTTTACTGAGGAAACTGAAGTGATGGGCTCCCCATTACACCGGACATTAAAATTATTTACCCTTCTCAATTCAAGTTTCGTGCCAAAGAGTATTGCTTCAGTTTTCCCGAGGTGTAACGATAGTTTGTCTACTAACCATTTGCTGCAGGACTCCAGTTCTAGTGTTATTACACTAGCTATATCTTGAGGGTCTTTACCTGACACTAACAGAGCACTGTCATCCGCAGGTGTCTTAAGGAAACACTTCCTAATGTTTTCATCCGTACTGGGGATGAAACCACGGACCTCAGTGGTTAGGTTAGGTCAGGAAACGGGACAAGTGTTTCCTGACGCGGGTCTTAGATGACCCGCCGTTGGAGCTTCTGATCTAACCGAGGCCTTCCGCTGGCTTACAGGTCCACCCCTTTAAAAATTATGGTCACTGTGGAAATTTTTTACATAATTTTCTAAATGTAGAAAATATAAATAATATAATAATTGTGTAATAAAATATGATGCTGATTTTACCCTTTCGAAAAATTTCGAGTGGGGGAGGGAGAACAGCTGCAGAGTGACGCAGGGGAGGAGACACAATTTGCAATTTGTGAACACTAGTTGTCGTGGGAAATTCTGTTAATAATTCGGCGTCTTTCGAGGCCAAATTGGGGTGTTTCGGCCTGAATTTATAATAGGAACCTGTGTTAATGTCCTCTGCTGAAGAATTGGGACAGGAAATTTGCAGGACCTCAAGAATTATGTGTGGATGGTGAAATATATGGGATGCAAACATCACTTACAGGGAAGTGCACCATTAGTCTTTGCATTTAGATCTTTAGCTGGCCAGTGTAGGGTCTAGGTGTTAGGCAGGTGTTGTGGTGTGATCTATCCACGGTAATTAAATGGTAAGTGGTAATGCAAAGTTCTTTTCCAATAACACTATTGCATTATATGTATTGTACTAATACCTGGAGGTTACCTGGAGGTTATTCCGGGGATCAACGCCCCCGCGGCCAGGTCCATGACCAGGCCTCCCGATGGATCAGGGCCTGATCAACTAGGCTGTTACTGCTGGCCGCACGCAGTCCAATGTACGAGCCACAGCCCGGCTGATCCGGCACTGACTTTAGGTATCTGTCCAGCTCACTCTTGAAAGCAGCCAGGGGCTTATTGGCAATTCCCCTAATGCTTGATGGGAGGCTGTTGAACAGTTTTGGGCCCCAGGACACTTATGGTGTTTTCCCTTAGTGTACCAATGGCGCCCCTACTTTTTATTGGGGGCATTTTGCATCGCCTGCCCAGTCTTTTACTTTCGTAAGGAGTGATTTCTGTGTGCAGATTTGGGACCATTCCTTCCAAGATTTTCCAAGTGTAGATTATGATATATCTCTCCCTCCTGTGTTCCAATGAGTACAAGTCAAGTGCTTCCAAGCGTTCCCAGTAGTTAAGGTGCTTGACAGAACTTATACGTGCAGAAAAGGATCTCTGTACACTCTCTAGATCTGCGATTTCACCTGCTTTGAATGGAGATGTTAATGTACAGCAGTATTCCAGCCTAGAGAGAACAAGTGATTTGAAAAGGATCATCATTGGCTTGGCATCTCTCATTTTGAAAGTTCTCATTATCCATCCTATCATTTTCTTTGCACTTGCGATCGTGGCACTGTTGTGATCCTTGAAAGTGAGATCCTCAGACATTACTACTCCCAGGTCCCTTACATTATTTTTCCGCTCTATTGTATGGCCGGAGTCAGTAGTATACTCTGTTCTAGTTATTATCTCCTCCAGTTTTCCGTAACGGAGTAGTTGGAATTTGTCCTCATTGAACATCATATTGTTTACCGTTGCCCACTGGAAAACTTTGTTTAAACCATACCCCCGGCCGGGATTGAACCCGCGGTCATAGAGTCTCAAAACTCCAGCCCGTCGCGTTAGCCAAAACTTTGTTTATATCTTCTTGGAGGTTAACCGCGTCCTCAGCAGATGACAGCCTCATGCAGATCCTAGTATCATCCGCAAAGGATGATACGGTGCTGTTGTGTATATCTCTGTCTATGTCTGATATGAGGATAAGGAATAAGATGGGGGCGAGTACTGTGCCTTGTGGAACAGAGCAGCCTCCGATTTAACTCTGTTGACCACTACTCTTTGTGTTCGATTTGTTAGGAAGTTGAAGATCCATCTCCCCACTTTCCCAGTTATTCCTTTAGCACGTATTTTATGGGCTATTACACCATGATCGCATTAGTCAAATGCTCTTGCAAAGTCTGTGTATATTACATCTGCATTCTGATTTTCTTCCAGTGCATCCAAGGCCATGTCATAGTGATCCAGTAGTTGTGAGAGGCAGGAGCGACCTGCCCTGAACCCATGTTGCCCTGGATTGTGCAGATTTTGGGAATCCAGGTGATTTGCAATCCTGCTTCTTAGCACTCTTTCAAAGATTTTTATGAGATGTGGGACGTCAGAGCTATTGGTCTATAGTTCTTAGTTAATGCTTTGCTGCCACCTTTATGGAGTGGGGCTATATCCGTTGTTTTAAGTGACTGTGGAATTTCACCCATGTCCAAGCTCCTCCTCCATAGTGTACTTAGGGCACGCGAGAGGGGTTTCTTGCAGTTCTTAATGAAAACAGAGTTCCACGAGTCTGGGCCCGGGGCTGAGTGCATAGGCATGTTGTCAATGGCTTTTTCGAAATCTATCGGAGTTAGGGTAATGTCGGAAATCTGGCATACATTTATGGAGTTTTGAGGCTCATTCATGAAGAAATCATTTGGGTCGTCGATCCTCAGCAAGTAAATCAAGTAAATAAAAAAGACATGCAGTCCACATAACTTTAATTACCAGACTAACTGATTTTATTGTTATAATTATCAATTTAATGTCATGTCTAGCTATCTGTGAGAGCTGTAGGGAGTGGACTTCGAAGGAATTACAGTTCAGTGACCTACTGTAACTAAGTCCCACTTACCTCACCCAAATCATTTGCAGATAATAATTCAGATGATGCCCGGTAAGCCTCCTGCAGGTGATTTACTCACATAATATTAATTATTTTCACAGTCATAGTTATAACCATTTAGGGACCTCAGTGTGTGAGCCGAGTGCGCTAGCAATCGAGCTACAGGACAGTAAAAAAAACAAGATAATAATTACTTACTGCCCTACGATAATTCTTCTCACGAGGTTTCCTTCATTAGGTGGGGGTGTCGGTTGCGTTGGTGTCCCTCCCAGGGCGACCGAGACCCCAACTCTGCTGCTGGTGTGTTCTCCACATCCAGTCCAGCAGCTGCTCATGCTCAGTAACCTCTCAACTGTGTTAGTTGGTGCACGCACTTCACTTCTCTCCACCATCTCTTGCCCTGCAAAATGCTTTCACACGGAGATTTACTCTGACACTGAAGTATAAGAAGAAACTAACAAAGATTTGGGTAAGAGATCATTAACATATTACATGTGAGTGAGATTACCTAACGCATTAGGAAGGTTAAAGGGCCATGCTCTCAGCTAAGGAAGCATGAAAACGTTTACTGTGCTTCCTTTAAGTGTGTACATTCATAGGTTAACTTTACTACATTTGTACCAGCTCCAGAGATTATCCATACAGAGTAGTTAACTGATATTTAATTTGGCAGGAAAAATTGAATAGTTAAATGACGGTAATGTTCACACATCAGAACAGTAAGGAACCGTAAGAAGGCTACTGCAGATGTTACTGACATTTCTAGCAACTTCGTGAGGTTAAAATTGTATTCATTTGAGAATTTCACATGTACTAGCTAGTGTTAGCTATGAATTGTCATAGCGGGATGTCTACCCTATATTATCACAATAAAAACTAAGCGCTATATACCACTTACACGTGAGACTAATCAAAAGTAAATTCATATATGTTCAAACTGTTTATGGAGCTTAATTAAACCCAAATAAATATCAGGGAGTCAGTATACCTGGAGAGGGTTTTAGGGGGTCAACGCCCCCGCGGCTTGATCTGAGACCAGGCCTCGTGGTGGATCAGGGTCTGATCAACCAGGCTGTTACTGCTGTCCGTTACTGATGTCTTTTAAGTGTTAATTGCCGAAATGTTTATTTAAATACTTGACATTATATATAAGAATATTAAATTAATTTACAGAAGTTCAGTGTAAGTGTAATTCAGTTATCGGTTATATATATGTTTTAGTTACAAAATATGAATGGGATGATTGGGAGGAAGGCTGGAGTAGGGTAATATCCACATTCTTACTGAAACCTTTTTTTATCCTATTTGTCTTTGTGTCAATTATAACTCATTTTCCTTATATGGTAAACACTACTTTCAAACTGTGGTGTTACTGTGGGTTCTGTAGACCTAGTACAGCACTTGCTGGGTTCTCTATACCTAGTACAGCACTTGCTGGGTTCTATATACCTAGTACAGCACTTGCTGGGTTCTCTATACCTAGTACAGCACTTGCTGGGTTCTCTATACCTAGTACAGCACTTGCTGGGTTCTCTATACCTAGTACAGCACTTGATGGGTTCTCTATACCTAGTACAGCACTTGCTGGGTTCTCTATACCTAGTACAGCACTTGCTGGGTTCTCTATACCTAGTACAGCACTTGCTGGGTTCTCTATACCTGGTACAGCAACTGCTAATCTTCATGTGGAGTATGTACGCTCTTTCTGTGACTTACCTGTGTAGAAGTCGATGCTCTCTGGACTCATAATTTTATATTTTTCCAACCCTTTCTTGTTTCTTGATACTCCATGTATCAAGTTTACAGCTGGAATGTAATATAACTCTCTACTTACTTTCCTTGATGTTCATAACTACCACTCTGTGACTGACATTTCTTTCTCCATTTATGGCAACACTATTCACCTTGGCATGCATGTTCATTATTTTTCCTACTATGCACATCCCTATAAGAGTTGTTTCTTTTCTCTGGGAAGTTCCTCTTCGTTCTCCGCATCTGTGATCCTCAGCTTCTCAACTGAAATTTATCTTCGCATAACAAGCGGCTTTTTATATAGTAGTATGTCATTAATGTCAGCTAGGCCTGTATACCTTGTATATGTACTTGTAGTAAATAAAGATACGTATTATTATATTATTATTATTATCTTTCCCTCTTCGAGCCTTGGCAGACGCTGTCTTGTTGACTCGGCCCTTATATACATTCCTTACATGAATCAACTTCAGCCCCGGATTTGTTTTCGTAGACGTTTGCTCCTCCCATTCTCCCTTATTATATTAAGATAAGATAAGATAAGATTTCGTTCGGATTTTTAACCCCGGAGGGTTAGCCACCCAGGATAACCCAAGAAAGTCAGTGCGTCATCGAGGACTGTCTAACTTATTTCCATTGGGGTCCTTAATCTTGTCCCCCAGGATGCGACCCACACCAGTCGACTAACACCCAGGTACCTATTTGCTGCTAGGTGAACAGGACAACAGGTGTAAGGAAACGTGTCGAAATGTTTCCACCCGCCGGGAATCGAACCCGGGCCCTCCGTGTGTGAAGCGGGAGCTTTAGCCACCAGGCCACCGGGGGAAGGGTGAGGTGTAATTTCTAGGGCCAAGAACCCCTTAACAGCATCAAGACATTCCACTTGATGTCTCCCATTCACAATTACTTTAATCTTCAGAAAAGATGTGGCTTCATCAGACCTTGACCCTGACTCTACGTGCTACTTACTGCCTTGACCTTACCTCAGGCTCCCACTGTTTTCTTACTCGCCTGTTAATAATAATGTACATATAGGTATATACTTCATTATGAGGAAATTTAAACATGCGAAAATGACTAGCGTGTGTGGGTGAGGCAGATATCTACATTTAATAAAAGAAAAAAAGTACCTCCCATTTCCCAGGCGATGTAAGACTAATAGTAACAATAATAATAGTAATAATTATAAATAGGAAACAAAGTCGGATGAAAAATAAAAAAAAGTCCCAGAAAAAAAAATACATTTGCCAAAAAATATGAGAACTTGACATACTCTTCAGATTTAACTAAACAACCTAACCTAATATACCCTATCACAACCTATTATTTTTTAATCTAACGTAACATTATTATATACATATCGAGTGGAACATCTACAATAAAAACTATTCACAGTATTTAAAAATAACTCCACTTTATGTGACGTTTGTTTTCGGCGAAATTCGTTTTTTTTTTTTTGTTACGCAAACATGCTAGCCACTTGTTTAGTAAGCACACAAAAACGATCCGAATGTAGACTTGACTAGTCAGTAGATTGTGACAGGATTCAAGTGTTGCCCAAACTCACATTTTACGTTACCTAACACTGTAACGTTATCCCCATAACATAAGATTTCACTGGAGAACGTAACATATTAAGGAAATTGAAATACTAAACGGATCATTCACAATGGTCTCAGGCGAAAAATTCATGGACTCATGGCCCCCGCAACTCGGTATCAGACCAGGCCTCCTGGTTGATGTCCTCATTATGGTACATAGTCTGACGTAGGCGCTACATAACGTTTGGTCGGGAATTATATGGAGTAATTTGTTAAATTGCCCCTTGAAGGGACGGTGTCGAACACTTTTGAACTGTGTGTTTATTTTTAGTTTTCTACTTAATGTCCCCGTTTTCCGTTGACTTACATAGCATCGTCCATTGTGCCTCCCGTTTTATTAAGGATTTATTTCGGTGTGTAAATCCGAATATACTCCTTCCAGTACTTTTCATTTGTGAATTATGAAAAATCTTTCTCGCCTGCGCTCCTAGGAATACAGTTTGAAGTATTTTAAGCATTCCCAATAACTCGGGGATTTGAATTGATGAGGACGCTTTTAACCTCACAACGCTCACCGAAGCTGCAAATTTGTCTGCCTTTTAGTGTATACAGCAGTAGTATTTCAATCGAGAAAATCTGCTTCTATATTAACCATAATTATGGTGTCTCAGTTCACAGATTACAGTTTGCAACCCATAATAAAAGGGTTCTCTTGGTGACTTATTTTAAGAGGTTTTATTGTAATAATCATTATATTCGTGGAAAGCAGTAAGTCTGTTTATTATAATTAAAGACAAATGTTGTCAACATTTCATCAAAATTAAAAACCTTACATTATTAAAGTAATCATTATTTAAGTGTAATGATTATTTGGTAATAAGAATAAATCTCTAATGGAGGGTGCTTGCCCAATTTGCTCAAAATGAATCTTACAGTACAAGGACATAACAAGGAAGGGACACAAGCCCATGCCTTAGGACATCTTTTTTTAAAAAAACGTTTTGATATAAGAGAGTTAGAATATAGTGGAGTATGCCTCTAGTGAAGACCAGGTGAAGGTGTCATCGTATTGAAATTGTACCGTGACAGCAATGAATCAACGTGTAGTAGCAGTATTATATTTTCTACCATCATAAGAGTGAAGGAGCACTTCGTACTATTTGCTTATGCTAGTTACGTCCAATTCACACACGTCCACACACCGACTCGCATACCCGTCCAACCAATCTCACCGACGTGACCCTATCCGGAAGTTTATTCCACTCTTCTACAACTCTGTTGTCAAGTCAGGGCTTCCCTGCATCATTTCTAAATCAAAATTTGTCCAACTTGAATCAGTTGCTGCGAGTCCTGTTTTGGTTAGATACTTTCAGCATGTTATTTGTATCCACTTTTTTCTTAGTTTTCCATGTGTGTACACGTCAGTCACATCCCCCTAATTCTACTTCTTTCCAGAGAGTAAATTCAGTGTCTCGAACTTATCCATGGGATCAGTTTCGTTACCCTTCTCTGTATATTTTCCAGCGCATTGATGTCCATTCTGTAATATGAAGACCAGAAGTGAGCAGCAGAATCAAAACGAGACCTTACCTATGGTAAACCGAGATGATGTTCGACCTTAGTACTTATATTATTTATGCTTCTTCATACGAACAATGTGGGATGATCGTGAGGTTACCTTGCTTCTTTTAACACACACACACACACACACACACACACACACACACACACACACACACACACACACACACACACACCACACACACACACACACCACACACACACACACAAACACACACACAAACACACACACACACACACGCACACACACACACACACACACACACACACACACACACACACACACACACACACACACACACACACACACACACACACACACACACACACACACACACACACAGACGCAAGGAGGAACGAGAAGCAATGAAAATGAGCAGGACCCAGACACAGGAGGAAGGGCAAACACACCCCACAGAATCTCCCACCAAAAGACTCCACCCGCGACATTCCCAACGCAACTGAGCAACCTATACTACAACCCACTCACTGTTCCCTCTGCCATCAACCCCCATATCACAAACTTCACCCCAACAGCTGCCCCTTATGGGCATTCTGACCCCACCCCCATCAACACAAACCCACCTACACCACA